GTTCCGCTGGCAAACGCAGCGCAGAGCTAGTCGAGGAAGGCGAGCGCAACGCCGGACACCCGGCTGCAGAGGGGCGCGAGTCCCGGGGCCTGCCTCGGGGCCCCCGCCCCTCTCTCGCTCCCCTCCCGCCCTCTCGGCGCTTGCGAGGGAGTGGCGGCGGAGAGGAGAGGTGCTGGAGAACCGGTTTCTTTGCTCTCACGCGCGCCCACCCGGCTCGGCGGCCCGGGTACAGACGTGAGGACTCAGGGGCCGCGAACTGGAGAAGCGCGGGCCCCCGGCCCCTCTCGCGGCGTCGTGGGCCCCAGCGCCTTCCTCCCAGCGCCGTCAACTGCATAAGGAACCCGCGGGCGGCCAGTGCAGGCGCAGGCAACTTTGCTGAGCGCGGGAGCAGCTCCCAGTGCGCAGATCCCTTCTCTGCGCTCAGGACTCTTGCGTCCGAGAATGGCAACCGCAAGGGAGGCATCGCAACTTACCTGTTTCTTGGCGTTCCGGGTTTCCCGAAGGGCGTTTTTTATATCTTAAACCCTTCTTCTGAAACCTAGAGTCCTTTCTCCCTCACACACACACACCCTTCTTCTGAATCGAAAGATTTTGATAGGAAACTTTCTGTTTCCCATTCTGGGTCTCTCTTTCCCATTTTCATCTACCAGGGACATCTGGTAGGAAACGTGGCCACAGGCCCTTGTTCTCAGTTTCTTTTCCACCTAACTTGGATGTAGCCTCCTTGAGGAGATTTACCCGGATTGTTCGTACTGGCGAAGCCCATTTCTCAGTCGAACAAACTTCTCAAACACGTTCACCTTGTTGGATTTTTTTCAAAGCGAAAAAAAGGTATTTTCACCCCAGCCTTGAGCAAGCTAGTTCTTTTAAATGGCACCTCCTTCTGAATATTAGGCAACACTATACTATCTTTCGAGGAATTCCTACCCCCCCCCTTTTTTTTTCTAATTCTCCCCCATACCAATAGGCAGAATGAACAGTTTGAACCAAGAGTGTGAGGGCAAGTCAAGGAGGGGACAGGCTGAACGCTGTGGGAGCGCTAGCACGGCCCGGGGCACGGGGTCGGGCACCGCTAGCGGACTTGGTGCTGGGCGAGAAGGAGGAGGAAGGGGCAGCCCGCTGAGTGAAAAGGGGCTGCGGCTGTCGCTCATCAAAGTGCTTCACCCTCCCCCCCAAGCGACACTTTCCTTTGGAGTCCGAATAAAATACGGTAACAGAATATGATGGAGGGCACACTGTTTCCTTAACTGCTTCTCAAAGAACCCGGGAGATCTTCTTAGGACCTTTAATAAGGCTTTGGTCGGTTCTTTTGTTGATCTCTCAAAATCAACTCCTTCTAATTGAAGTTCGGGCTGAAAGCGAGCTAATGTTCAAAGAAAGTGGCCGCCAGACCAACGAAATTACATTTTTTTTTTTTTTTACGTTGAGGGAACATCTAATCAAAGGAGCGGGGAAGGAGGGGTGGGAGTGGGGGAGTACGAAGGAGAAAAGAAGGTTTTACAAGATCTTTCTCTAGTTCACAAAAGTCAGCGACACGGGCGCTTCTCTCCAGAACAAAGACATCGCTGCCCATTCACAAAAGGGAGAGAAAGAGAGAAAACAGAATAAAAGAACGAGAGGAAAGGAAAAACATGAAGAAAAAAAAGGGGGCTTTAAGAGGAAAAGAAACTGCGCAGAGCGCAGCGTTGGCCCTGGCACGGACACACCTCAGGCTCGCGCAGGCCCCCGCCGGGAGCAGCTGGGGCTACCGGTGGTCAGCCGCCCGCGTTTCGGAGTCCCAGAGATGGTTCTGAGGTTTAAGAAAGAAATGAAAGACATCCCCGACTCCAGTTCCGGGGCCAGGCGCCGGCTGGAGCACACTTAGTGTGCGTGTGCGTAGGGAGGGAGGGTGGTAAAACTGTGTGAGAGTCCTGGAGCGCGCGCCGGCGAACGTCTGCGCCCGTACCCCTGAGCTGCCACCCGGGCCTAGGTGCTGTGTGCCTGGGTCGGCCCGCCTGCGCCAGGACGTGTGCCCTTGCCCCACTTTCGCAACCTCTCGACCTCCTGCCTCCTCCGGGTCGAGTTTGGCCTGCAGCTTCAGCCTTGGTCCAGGACCTGTGCGGCGAGGTGGGGAGGCCAAGCACTCTGGAATGTGCCCGCGCGGTCCCTTGGGCCCGCAGCGCGTTAGTCCGGGGCTCTTAGCTCCAGATGCTGCAACGGGTCTCGGGAAAGTTGGGAGATATCAAGTAGCACGGATTTTTTTTTTTTTTTTTTTTCCCTAATGAGAGTATTTATCTAATCCCAGATTGCAGGCAAATTTTCTTAATGCTCAGCCCATAAAACCCCGGGATTAAGAGAAGAAAGAAAGGAAAGGGGGAGAGGGAGGAGAGTGAAAGGGAGAGAGAGAATGAGATGAAAGTTTCCTGTGAGCGGTGCAGAGAACTGAGGCGGCCGTCGCTAGGCAAATGTCCAGGTGGGAGACCTAAGGTCAGAAGCTGCTACTGTTCCAGCAACCGCTGCATTGCGGCCAGGGGAAGAAGGGGAGCGCCCCGGGAGGGGAAACGGACCCAGCTCAAGGCCCCCGGGCCGGGCAGGGGGTGAGGAAGCTGGGCCTCAGGGCCTAGATGCCGCACCCAGGTAACAACGAGGCCTGGCCAGGTTCTGTAGGACACTTGGAACAGGGGCAGAGGTTTGGCTGGCGGGGCCAAGGAATCCTGGCCACCTGGCCAGGAGCGAAAGTTCCGCACTGGCCCGCGGGCGAGCTCGCCGCCAACAAGCCTCCTCCGCGGCGACTTTCGTTCCTACAGCCTTCTCTTCCCACAGCGCGGGCTTTCGTGTTCCAGACCCCTCGGAGTCCTGGGTTCGCGGCCGGGTGGGTGCCGCCCCAGGCCCTATGCGGCAAAGTAGGGGCAAGGCCCCCTCGCGGGGGGCCTGACCCCACACTCCCAAGGTCTGCGTTCCGCCGCCACTGCGGGGCGTGCAGGCGCCACTGAGCAGCCCAAATGGAAACCTAGCTAGGCTCGGGACTGGGCTGGTCCACGCACCAGCCCTGACCACCCTAGCAAATTAGGGGCGAGGGCAAGTTTGGCCCTTGGTAGATCGGGCGCGGCTAGGGGTGGCCTCCTCTCCACAAGTCCCCAGGGGAGAGAATGGTACCCGAATCCGTAGTAAACCGGGTGGGTAACGCTGGCGGCTCAAACCCAAGGCTGCTCGGGTCGGGCGATTTCCGTCTGGCGTGGTTCCCCGAGGTTAGAGAGGGTTTCTGAGAGCTTTCCTCAGAAAGCTGCAGTTTGCTCTGCTCTCTAGCTCGAATAAAAAGGGCAAATACCCAACTTCACTTAGTTCCGGTAACTTCTCTAAAACTTCTTAAAATTATTTGCTTGAAGGTATTTTACCATAGCAAGTTTTTATCGTCGTTTAAAAGACTAGCAATTGGAAACAACGGCATACTTTTCAAACGCAGTTTGTGTGCCTATGTACATATATTATGTGTATGTATGGCTATTGTGTGTGCGCACGTGTGTGTGTGTGTGT